AGGGGATCGCAACCCTTGGTGTGGTGTCACCCGCACCGCGCTCAGCCAGTGAGCGCACTGGTCATTCCTATAGAGGATCCGAACCCGCGGCGGGAGCGTCGCTGTGCTCCCAGTGCCACACTCTCCCGAGTGAGCCACGGGGCCGGCCCTGAAAGAACTTTCTGACTGTTCAGAGGAAGCGACAATGGAAGAAAGTCGCCCTGCTCAGCAGGATTCATCAGAAGTCAGCAAATTTTTTCTGTAAAGGGCCAAACAGTAAGTACTTTAGGGATTTGTGGGCCATTTGTGATGTCTTATCTCAGCTACTCATCACCACTGTTGCAGCACAGCACAAAAGCATCCACAAATGACACATGACTAAATAAATGTGGCTGTGTTCCAATAACTCTTTATTTATTAAAGCAGGTGCTGGGTTGGATTTGGCCTGCAGGCTATAGTTTGCCAACCTCTGATTCAGATTGGACATAAGAGCTGAAGACAGAGGGTGGCCCAGATGACCTCAGGCATCCTTGCAGCTCTAAGCGTCCTGCCCCAGAGTGCACTACGAAGGTTTCTTGGTGGGGGTCTGTGGATGGGCCAGCCCCCAGCCTCCCAGACTGACCATGGCAATGTCCTCTTGGGGAGTAAGCTGCTTCCCCCACAGCATGGCTTACTTAAGACGAGCGCCAACACGTGTTCAGGCCTCATGGGGAAACGGGGTGGAGACGGCTGTGCTAGCCAGGAGCACAGACGGTGGCCAGCAACATCTGTTTCTCCCGCATGGCCACAGCACCTGGCTGGGCAGACAGCGGCCTGGAAAGGCCACAGCTGCCTGAGTCACTGTCCACACCCATGAGGTTGCTACAGACCCCTGGCTGCCCCTTCCATTGCTGGACGGGTCTGCTCTCCACCGAGTCTCTCAGCGGGGTTGCAGTGAGGACCCAAGCCACCATAGAGAGAACCAGGCTCATGGCTGACAGGCGTCCTCAGCCTGGGACAGAGGCCATGATCCGGGCCCTGCCATAGGCACTGGGGACTCCAGACAGACAGCCAGTATCTGCTGCAGCCACAGTGAGCCCGGGGCCAGGCGCTGGTGTGGGGCCCTGCATGAGATGAAGGAACCCTGACACTCTTGGATCAGGGAGGAGGGGATGGGTTTTCTCTGTCTAGGGAAGAGAGGCTCAAGGGTCACTCCAGACTCAGGCCAGGGGGTCAAGCTGCCACGCTCCCTCCCCACGAGGCCACTGCTTTTCCTCCTTCAGAGCCTGAGACTCGGCTCTGCCCTGACGCTGCTCCCGGGGGGCCTTGGACTCAAGANCTTCAGAGCCTGAGACTCGGCTCTGCCCTGACGCTGCTCCCGGGGGGCCTTGGACTCAAGAGTTATGGCCACTTCGGCCTAGACTTGACCAGAGAGGAGGCCTGAAGGAGCAAAGACGTGTGCACGTGTGCGGGCGAGGAGGCAGAGTCCCCGGTGGACACCACCCCTTCCTCACGCCACATCTGGAAGCCCCCGGGTGGGGGTGGGTACTAGGACAGAGCTAGGAGGGAGCTAGACAAGGAGCTGCAGTGTGCACCCTCGTCCTTCTCAGCAGAAAATGTCCACGAGGAGGGAGGGAGCGGGCTGATACTGTAAAGTCAGCTGGCTTTGCTGGAAATCGCCCCAGGACCTGGAGTCTGTCCACAGAAACAATTACCACACATCTGAAAGGCCACCCTGGGATCGTACTATTCCTGGGTGGTGATATTTTC